TAGAGAATAATTTTCTGTTGTCTGAAATCAATTAGTTGATATACTTGTTTGTAGCAGAACTAGGAAAGTAATCTAATATTAAGAAACCAGTGCAAGGAAAAAAAAGCAAAAAATAAACAAATGGGACTATATCAAACTAATAGCTTCTGCGTAGAGAAAGTATCAGTAAAATAGAAAATTTTAAAAAGTATTAAAATTTCTCCCATCTACCAAATGGGAGTAGGTAGATAGGTACATAATCTGACAAGGGTCTCATAGCCAAGATGTACAAAGAACATGTATAACTGACAAAAAAAAAAAAAACCAAAAAAACCAACAAAAAACTGAGAACCCAATTAAAAAATGCGCAAAAGAGTTAAATAGACACTTCTCCAAAGAAGACAAACAGATGGCGAACAGCACAGGAAAAGGTGTTTAATATTGCTTATCATCAGGGTAATGCAAATCAAAATCTACCCCTCACACCATGAAAAATGGCCCATATAAAACAAACAAACAAAAAAACCCAAAAACAAACCCAAAAACCCAAAAACAAACAAACAAAAAAACAATAATTTTTGAGGGTGTGGAGAAAGAGGAACACTTATACACTCTTGATGAGAATGTAGGCTTGTCCAGGCCCTATGAAAAATGAAGATACCTATGAATATGAAGATACCTCAAAATATTTAAGAAAGACCTACCATATGACCTAGCAATTCCGCTCCTAGTTATCTATCTAAAAAAAGGCAAAAAGCACTAACTTGAAGGGCTGTGTGCACTCCTATGTCCATTGCAGCACTATTTACAGTAACTAAATTATGGAAACAACCTAAGTGCCCAAGAACAGGAGCAGATTAAATGTGGTATATGTACACAACTGAGTACTCTTCAACTCTAAACTCTTCAACTCTTCATCCATCTTGCCATAGATGGAACTGGCCAGAATAATGCTAAGTGGAAGAACTCACAAGTAGAAAGACAAATACTGATGGTTTCACTCCTATGTGGAATATAGAGAAACAAAGGAATTGACAAAACTAAACCAAAATAAAACCTAGAAATATGACTGCAGAATTGAGGCTACTAGAAGGAAAGGTGGGGGGGGGTGGCAAAAAGGGGTGGATGCCCAATCATCTATGGCAAAGGATTATGAGTGGTGGGTGTGAGGTCTGGTGGCATACATCTGAAGAGGTGTGAACCTATTTCCCTAAATCAAATGCAGTATTGTAAACCAATATTACCTCAATTAAAAGAAAAGAAATAGAGAAAAATAGATAAAAATGAATTGAATGTATTTATAACATTTAAAAAAGAAACCAGTATAATACGTTGTATACAAATTACATTTTTAGTTTTTTTATTAGATATGTTGCTAGCTAAATAAGCATTTACAAGGCACAATCCATTCTCAATTATTCTTCCTTAGATCACATCTGACTTCAATTCGTTTCAGATACACTGCAAATTCGAAAGTCTGAAAATGTCTTTAGAAAAAAATATTAATTTGTTATTAATAAGCAATTTTAGGAACTGTATGAGCCTTGAAATAAAACACAACTGCTGAAATAGTCTCATTTTCTCCATCCACTAGTTTTGGGAAGCAGTAAAGGAAGCTGAGAGGCTCTCAGGATTCAAGTCCTGATTCCGTTGGTTCCCAGCTACTGAATGTGACAGTGGACAGCTCTCTCATAGTTTCCCGATTGCAGTGTGGAAATAAAGCATGGAGCTCACTGGCTTGTTGGGTTGATTAGAAGAACTAAGACATGCCAAGCTCTCAGATGGTGGTAGCACATAATAATTTATTAGTGCATGTTAGCCACCAGTCTTTCTTTTTAGGAGTTCTTACCCACTGCCACAAATTAGCTATACAAAGCAACTCTGACATGCAACTCACCTGCTAGAAAACATTACATGGTCCTCCACCCTGTAGATGAAAATGTTAAATACCCTGCAAATGTTGACATCAAATTTGTCCAATTTTTCTCCCATTCTCACTATCTATTGAGGCCCCATCGTCCTTGAAAACCCAGCTGAGAGATTATCCACCACCGGTAGGTTTTCCCAGCTTACCTATATGAGACTTTTTCCTTTCTCCCTCTGCTGTTTTCCCGCAGCACACTGCCTGCCTGGAGTTATTTGTGCATGCCATGTGCCACTTGATAAATGATGACCTCCAGGAGGACAAGGCCTGTATCTTTCAATTTTGTATCTCCCTATAGTACCTAGCAGAGATTTTTACACTTAGTAGATATTCAATAAATGGCTGTTAAACTTAGTTGAACCCACATTTTTTTTCCTTGTTGGCAGATGCCCTCAGAAAAACATAAAATAAATGAATTATGTTTCTTCTTTTCATTGCAATATATATGCCCTGGGCTAGTGGGTATTTGCAAGTCTGGTTTAGAACTTAGGGAAGTCATCAATCTAAGAAAGGAGAAGAAATGCATTTTAAATCACAGGAGCAATATAGCCTTATATAGGACCTTCCAGCAAAGCATTTACTGATGGCTCAGTCACCCAGGTGCTAGTGCTATTACGAACAAAAGTCTCAAGTTGAGAGACAATGAGTGATCTTAACTTTTATATTCCATAGGTATGCAATTCAATGAAACATGTACAGATGGAAAGTTTAGATCTGAGAATCATATGTGGGTATCACAATACAAATAATTGGCTTTCTTTCTAAAGAACATCTGTTGAAACATCTGAAAGCAGTTGTTTATACTGCTGCCAAAATGTTGAAAAATATAATAATTCTCCAGTGAGGTTAGAAATATCCGGGGGAAGAAAAATACTTTTTATGTAGTTCTGTTTTTATTAAATCCTGTTGTTGTGTCTCTAATATGGCACATAGGAGATGCTCAATAATATTTGTGGAATGAATGTGGAATGAATAGCAGAGACACATTAAACAGTGTTGAATGAATCACTTCTTTTTATTAGACTGATAAGATATATTTTCAGAAAATAGTATGCCTTAGTTTTACTGTGCCATATACCATTTTTATTTGGCATAAATTTAAGTAATGCTACTCTTGCTCTGAGCATTATAGAATGTAATCAGCATTTATATCTATAAGAAAAAAACCTTAACACTATAGAAAATATATGAATAAAGCTAGATAAATGATGGCAATATTGCAGTATCTCAGTGCTACTTTTACTCATTATTACAAAACACTGAAAATTTGAATTGTGGGCTTCCATAATCATGTTAGCTTCAACAAATAATATAAAATTAAAAATCTTGCTAATGTTTATAGATATGGGATATCTGACAAGACTTGAACTTGAGATTTAAATGCACCAACATATTCTGGGATGTGAAGAAAAAGACTGTGGAAGATGAAGCCATTTATCCTCACACCCTCTTTCCAGAATTTCTAGCAGTTCTTTCTTCCATATTCTTCTGTGAGTGTGGAAATTGGGCTCCCCAAAGGCTGCCCAAATTCCACTCTGCCAAGTTTCAATACAGAAAGAGCCTGTTAAATAATAAATGTGAGTTTGAGTGTAACTAATAAAATTGGAATGTTAAAAAGCAGCATGCTTTTGAAAACCAGCCTCCTTATGAGGATGCTCCCGGTGTAGGTCCACGGGAAATAATTCTGAAGGGAGTGATATTAATTAGTAATATAATTTATCTTCTGGAAGCCCTTTCCTTTGATGGATGCCGTGGCACAGTTCATAAGCCTCCAAATGAGTGCTCAAAGAAAATGGTTCAAACCACAATTTTAGCTTTGTTTTCCATCCTTGAATAGATATAAAAGAGTCAAATTTATTTCAGTATATCTAAATTTTTCACCTACATCCACATGATGGAGGATTATGAAGTGATAAAAATGTATTTATGAAGAGTTTTCAATGAAATGGCAAAATGTTGGTGATGTAATAAGAGGAAAATCAGTAGAAACCAAAATTAAATTCATCATCTCCGATTTCAGATATTTTGGTTTTAGATCTCCTGTTGCTATATACTAGGTCTGCAATCTTGGCCAAACATTTAACTCTCTGTGTCTCGGTTTCCTCGACTATATATAGTAATAGCAGAAAGAATTTCCAAATGATATATACTATTTTAAATAGTGCCTGATAAATACTCAAAAACATGATTTTTTTTTTACAATAACTTCAAATTTATATAAAGAAAAAATGCAAGGTGAGAAGAAGCACCTGGAAGGCAATAGCCAAAATGTCATTAATATTTGCTTTTGAATGATGTTTATGGGCTTCTTATGGTTTCTGCTTCATTATACTTTTCAGTAGGCATGCTTCTATAATATAGTTTAAAAATTAAGTTTTAGGCATAGATGGCTTGATGGAAATGAGGGTGGAAATTTGCAATAGGTTAAAATTTAAAACCAACTATACTACACCATTAATTAAATATTAATTAAGTCTATTATTCAGATGATGTGACAAAACATACATTTATCTTATTTCACTTAATTCTAAATTCACTCTAACTCAAAATTACTTTTTAAAGTTTAACCAATGCCAATTAAACATGCAGAAGTAAAGTCAAATGTTTATTATAATCTTAATATTTTGACCCACTAAAACTAAAAATATTTTATTTTTTAATTTAAAAAATCCCAGGCAAGAATCCCAAAGGTGCCTTTCATGTTTAAGCTTTAATTAGCAACCACTTTGGTCTCTGACACATATTGTGCAGATACTGAAGTGTTAATATTACTGCAGCTTGATTACAAAAGGCAATGATTAATTTTAAAGCAGACAAAAAGATATGCCCTGATTACAAAGGAATGATTAAGGCGGAATGTCAGACATTGCACATTTAGAACAGTCTTTGTCGTAGTCAAAGGAGAAGAGTTTGCAGAAGTTTATATTTAGAATCACGGCCACTTTGCACCTCCCCAAGCGGTGCAGGCACCTGGGCTGGGGAAGGCCTGCACTTCCGGGCGCTGCGCGAATGCGGCCGGCTGCGCGCCCAGGCCCCAGCGAGCCACCGTAGCTTCTCCCCCCCACCCCACCCGCCCCCCTCCCCTCCCCCGCCGACCACAGGCCCTGGCCACAGCTTCAGGGGGGTGTTGTGCTCGCGGGGTTCGTCTGTTCACTCCTTTTACCCGGAAACCAAGCACTGGAAGGGAACTTCTCAGTAAAAAGGGGGGCCGCAGGTGAAAGGGGCCTGTCCAGACTGCCAGCAAGCCATGGCCCGAACTCCTTTTTTTTTTTTTAAGATTTATTTATGCATACAAGAGCTGGGGTACAGGCCAGAGATGTGGGGGGCCCCGGGGTGAGAGGATTCACCAGAGACAGAGTGGGGAACAGAACAGGCAAATTGACTGAAATACACTGCTGAGGGGAGCAGCGGGCAAGACAGGAGGGGTCTGCTGTGCCATGTGGGTAGCCCCCTGGCCGGCCGGGGTTCGAACTCGTGCTGCAGAGGCTGTGGACAGTTTCATAGTTTGCTTCTTAACCTCTTGCGCCACCAGGGAGGCCCTCCAACTCCATTTTTATTTGCCACCAAAACAACGACTAGCCTGAGAAGGGCTGAGCCCTCGTCTGAGGGGAGCAGCGTTCATCCAGCAGCCTGTGAGACTTTTCAGGGGCAGGAGGAGGTGCGAGGGAGAAAGGCGGGGTTGGCCGCCGTTGAAACAGGGGAACAGCCAAGAGCCGCTGCTTGCGAAGCGCCCCCACACGTTGGGCCCTCACCCCATGCTGCCTGCAGGTGGGGGACAGGGAGCGCGAGGTCCATCTGGAACAATCCTAGAATATTCCTTCTTTATTGTGCTTTCCAGGATCCTCAGACACAGTTATAAAATATTTAAAGGTGAAAAAAAGGTCCTCCGGAGCCCCGGCCACGATGAGTTTAGAATCCTTGCTTCAGCACATCATCTTCTCGGAGCATCAGGCCGAGGAGAGTAGGCGCCTGATGAGAGAAGGTGGGTGCCCCAGGCCATCCCACCAGGCCTTTGTCTTCCTGAGCTGGGGACTTGGATCCAGAGGGAATTCCTAATGCTGTGGTCAGAACAGCTAGAGGATCCGGCTCTGTTATCAAAGGCTACAGATAGGGGGGCTTTAGGAAGACTGATGTGTTTAAGGATTTAATTTGTTTTACAGTGAGATTGGATATAAACAGATGTCGTGAAAAAATTAGGAAAGCAGTGGAGAAGCTGAGTGAAGAGAAAATCAGATTAGAAGCCAAGGTAATTGACATGTAGAGCATGTTCATTATCATTTAAAAAAGTCTTTTAACTTGAGTTTTTGAGGGTATTTTTCTTTTTGACTAGTTGTCCTTCAAGTAGGAAGCACAGTGCTGTGCTGGTTCGTGTAGCTCTATGTTGAATCCATTGGTTACCTTCCGTTCTAATATGAACAGTTCCTAAACAAACCATTTTAAATAATGAACAATTCCTCGGCCATGTTGTGGGATGGTTAATGTTTTAAAATAGCACAATGTCAATGGAAAAATAAATTGTGCAAGTAATTGGAGCAGTTTATACATTTCAAATAATAAATTTAGGAAGTGTACTATGCTGATGTAATAACTGAATGTAGCTTTCAAATGAGTCACTGTCTTTTATTTTCCAACCTTCTACCACATTTTAGACATGCCTTTCATCTCACAGTATAATTTTTCAAGGAGCAGTTTTATTTTTTTTTTCCTGTAGCATATATAAAATTCTATTATTTTAAATAGAATCAGGGGAATATGATGGCTTCTTGAAGGAGGATTTTGAAGGGAGGGTAGAATTTTAGAGAAACAAAGAGAAATAGAAGGAAAAAAGCATTCAGGGCAAGGGGAAGATGAACAAAAGGCAGACATGCCCAAGGCATATTGGGAGAGAAATCTAGTCAAAGCAGAGGGCGGATAATCTGGGAATTGGAGGAAACCACTGCAGGTTTCTGATCAAGGAGCGGTGTGATAAAAGTGGTTTTAGGAAGATCTCTTGGAGCCCCGGGAGAATGGGAGCTAAGAACATCATCCAAATAAGTCACAGTGAACACCCCTTTATGGGGAGGGAGGGAGTGGTTAGGGGTGGAGGAGCACACAGTTATACAAAATATTTATTCAACTCCTAAAGATAAAATAAGCAGGCATTGTGCAATGGGAAATCTGTTTGAGGAAGTCTATTTGCTTGAATATATTTTAACTTATCACTGTGAGGAATTTCCAGTTCTCTTTGTGAATAAAATAACTCTGCTCTAGCTGGTGACCTTCTGTTCTTTCTACCAAATCTTGCTCAGATATTATCTATGCAGACCTCCTGGAAAACTTTATCATGATTTTCAGTACACCACCTTACAATTAAACAACGACATAAATTTGTGTTTGTATTTGTATTGCTCATAAGCAACATGTCAGGGATTTTTTGCTTATCCATCTTTTATTTTCACAGCCTGTATTCAATGCTAATGCATAGTACACAGTATATATTCGTGTTTGGAATGAATTAAAGAGTACTAATAGGGTGAGAGCTGTCTTTTAAATTAGAATTTGGAACTGTCATTCAGTGAGACCCAAGATCCTGTTTTGACTGTGGAGAGCTGACAAACTAGCTGCTGATGGGGATGATGGGATGACTAGTTGATGGAATGGGTTCAGAATATCATAATGTAGTTTTCTTTTTTTGGTTAAAAATAACTTAGCTACTTCCAGGTTTGGTAACTAGACGCTAATAGAAGTTAATAGGCAAAGCATATACAATTAGGTAGTGCAGAGCTAACACTTCTTGAGGGCCTCCCCTGGTGGTGCAGTGGTTGAGCCCTGGGCTGTGACTGCCCACAGCCTCTGCAGTGCCGGTTCGTTCCCGGCCGCCGTCAAGGGTCCCACAAAAAAAAAGAGCTAACACTTCTTTTTTTTTTAATCATTTTTTTTAAAGATTTATTTATTTATTTATACAAGCACTGGGTACAGTCAGAAACGCCGGAGGGTGAGAGAATTCACCAGAGCCAGAGCAGGGAGCAGAGCAGGCAGAAGGACTGAGGTACACTGCTGAGGGGAGCAGCGGGTGCGGCGGGAGAGGTCTGCGCGCCATGTGGGACCCTCCTCTGGTGGCCGGGGAACAGCCGGGGATAGAACTGGCGCTTCCCAACCCAGTGCTCAACCGCTGTGCCACCGGGGAGGCCCCAAGAGCTAACACTTCTTGAGCACTTATTGTATGCTGAACATAATTCTAAATACTTCACCTGTGTTAACACCTTTAATTCTGCTAGGAATCCTATTGTTAGGGGGAAAGGCTGTCCTAAAGCTAATTCCATACAGGCTTTGTGGACTCCACTCCCACCCCAGGCCAAAGCCAAAGACACTGGAAACTCCAAATCCCATCACCACCAAAGGGAAGGTAGCTGGGACCTGAGGATGGGGTTAAGCAGCCAGGTGGATATAAAAGGCAGATATGTGGGCTTTGGGGTCCCCCATTTTGGCTCTCCGCCAGCTCGCAGCATCTGGCCAGCTCTGAGAGTGACTTTGGGTTTCCAGGTCGTTGGATCGGGTAGGACGCATTAAAGACTTTATTTCCCTATTTTCTCCCTGAGTTGTACATTTTCCTTATTTCCTTTTCTCTTGTAAATAAACCTTTTATTAACCTTTTGTGTGTGTCTGTAGTAGAGTATTCATAAGTCCCTTTAAAGCGCGCGGGTGAGGACCCACAGCCAGGAATCCATTCAATATCCGGGCAGCTCTATAACACTATTGCTTCTTTGTAGGGATATCAAAACAGATATTTTGAGCTCATCTTAAACTTTTTTCTTCATGAAGTTCACATATGATCATGTATCTGAAGCTTTTGCATCTTTTTTTTTGAGCAATGTTTTTAAAGGGTCATACAGAGGGCACCTACATACAAAAGGTATTTTGTACAAAATATGTTTTTCCTGAATTGGTGAAAGTACTGACCTGACAGGTAACAAATGTTTAAATGAAAATGATGGACTCTTTGAATATCTTCTTTGAACAAAAAAACAAGTTTACTTTGTAATATTTTCTTTGTTAGCCTATTTTGCTGAAAATGGAAATGTAATTTGTTGTTATAGACAAATGCATAAAAATGTTGATAAAAATATTTATACTTGAGGGAAGACAGAAAAAATCCTTTACATTGTTTAGAAACATTTGCTGAAATTACTAATTAATATAGGCTCATAAATTCATTGCTTTTTAATCAGCTCCTACATATGACTAATAACACAACCGTATCATACTAATAAAACTAACATATGAGGTTCACTGTTCAGTCAATACTAATTTGTAATTGAAATAAGTTGATTTATAATATAGTCAAAATGGTGTGTGTGTTTGTATGTGTGTGTATAAAGATTTTAAAAGTGGAACCACAATTATAATGTAAATGACTAATGGGAAAAACTGAAGAAGTAATCATAAATTGATTTCTTGTTTCTTTTATTCTCAGAGTTAATTATATGTCTGCCAATAACAATGAAAATATATTGACTTGAGTATTTGACTTGGCATTTATTGACCAATTTATCAAGTGGAAGCAGCATAAAGCGAAACTAGAACATAATTTGAATAGGCCAGTTGCTTGAGTTATTTGTACAGTGATACATTCAGAAAATATTTTGGGCATTTATTTTGGAAGTTGCTTGTGGTCAAAAAAATGTATTTAGGCAGTACAGTATTCATTTTTTCTTTCCTGTTCTGTAAAACTCAGGTAGCATGTAATTAGAACTTGAGTGATAGCATTTGCCTTTCAGGGCTCGATGAGTCCTTTAAAATATATGGTTGCAAAAGCCTCTGATTATATAGTATGAGTACTTTGTGAATTGGACAGCTATCGTATGCCTGGTTAGGTTTGGTAATATGAAAACAGAAAGACAAGAACATGCCCTGGATTTGCATTAATGCTTACCAGGATACCCAAAGCTTCTGATATTCAAGGAAAGGTTGCATAGTATTGGTGACAGAGCAAATAAAAATTGTAGAATCACAGAATATTTGCAGTTTCTTTTAAGCATCTGATTGAGGTTTTCCCCTGTTTTAAAAAGTAATATATAGTTAAAATTTGGGCATTTAGTGTTTATCACCATATTACATAAAACCCAACATACGAAGTAAATGGAGGAAAGTCTGAGATTATTTTATTTCTTCTTCCCATTTTAACATACTGCATAAACATCTTAACTATAATAAAATAATATTTCATGAATTTTTAAAGGGAAATTATATTGATCTAGACATGTAACTTACAATGGCTTCTTTTACTTCTTTATAATGTACACACTCCTTTTTTTAATTGATCAAATTAGGAAGCCTCTCAGAACAGCAGGCAAAGTCATATCCTTTAGTAATCTACACTCTAAGTAGGGAAAGAACAAAATCATGAATTATTTTCATTTATAATATTGAAATGGAGTTTTGCAATTGAGAGTTTTTTTTAGTATAATGAAGAAAAAATTTAGATCCTACTTTAATTTTAGGCTGATTAAAAGTTGCTTAAAAAATAGGCATTATTTCTTCCCTCTAGTTAAGATGTGTTTAAATAGCAGTGCATGTGAATTATTTAATATTAATTTTAGAAAATAAAGTAGAAATTCTGCTTATCACAATTTAATTCACACCTATGGTTACATTAATTGTGGCCAAGACAGTTTTGAAGGTAGATACAGTTAGCTTCTTAAGAGTCTCTATGACTCTTTTGTATTAAATTCTTTTAAACTAAATCTCTCTGTCCTGAACATATTAAGGTAATTGTTTAAAGTTGTAATACAGAATTTTAGATGTACTGTCCATTTTATATTCTCTTTATTCTTAGTGCAGTTCCATAGCCATTCAGTACATTTCTGAGTCTGGAGTTCATTCTGTGAAGGCTGATTCTTCTTCTGATTCTTTCACGTGAGACACCTACTTGGAGGTTTGATGGACATCCTCTTCACTCCCCTGGTCTCCTTCTTGGCCTTTACTTCTTTACCCGTTTGTGGTGACTCATGTTTTACCCTGAACTGTACCATCTCTTCCCCCTCCTTTTTTCTGTCACCCATGAAACTCTCCTTTGTTCTTCAGAGTTTGGCACCTAGCTCCCTGGCTTCCACTTTATCTCAACTGTCACCATCTTCCTGAATGATGTCACTGTATGGTCTAGTTAGCTGCCACCCTGGCCTGTTCATTCTTTGGTCTCTGCTTTTTTTAGCAACCTTTTACTCCATTCTGCCTCAGCCACCGATTTCCATAATCATACTTTCTGGG